CAGAGGTTTAAAGGTCCATAGATACCTCTAATCTATAATTATAAGTAAGGATTGTATTGTATATTAAAAATTTAATAAACTAAATCTGTAACACTTACACAAAAAAACTATAAATTATTCTATTCAGATCCAGATTTTTAATTTAATTAACTTTATTTATTTTAATAAAAGGAATAACCGCCACAAAAAAAATTCACAGCTATAAAATAACATAAGCATAGTGAGAAAATATGAATTTAATTAGTCAAATCATTTATTCGTGGGGAAGCTTTATGAAATTTTAAATGAATAAATTTAATGTTGACTGTCCAACTGAGCCAGAAGCATCAGATATGAGATATCACTGATCCGAAAGGTATTTACAACACACCCAATCCTTCTCGTTTCCCTTCCTATCCTACAGCTTGGAAAACTGTTTGAAATAACTGAATTGACTCATTATGCAAACTGCAAAGTATGATGATAAGCCGAACCATGAAGCAATTGGATCAACATTATTTATATGACGGCTAGTGTTTCATTGAATTTGAAGAATATAGGGTCGTAATCCTGTCCTTTAAGAAAGCGGTTATGAACCATTCGATGCACGTACAACAAATACATACCAGGCAGAATGGCCTAAACGTAGCTACTGAGCAATCAAACCGGTGTAGACATCAGAAGCAATATGTTACAGACAGGTGACGACCGGTGACATATTTTGAGGAACCAATTCAAATTTATCGATAGATTAAAAAATATTGATGAATAAATTTTAGAACTCTGAAAATTGTACTCATTGAAGCACATTGCAATATTTACAAATAAAATTATTATAAACTGTACGTATCGATAATATTATTATTTAATAAAACGGGAATATCATATTACTAAAGCTTTTGTAAAGGTAAAGTTGATTTTTTTTTCATAAATTCATTGGCATTTCAAAAATTGTTACAAATAAATTATGTTTTGTGGAAATAAAGGCAACGAAACTTCATTATGGTTATATTCGTAAAAAATAATCTATCTAGAACAACAATTGCCATCTTCATACTTTGTAATCATGATGATGTTCAACAATCTTCTAATCATATTTTAATTGGCTCGAACATTACGAAGTAGCCAAATCTATTATTGGTATATAATAATCAGGTAATTAAACTTGACTTTACTACTTCCTCCCTAAGTAAATTCCATTCGCCTATTTGTGGTGTTTTTGAGCAATTGCAATCAATGATAAATGAATAATAAAGAACAAATCAATTTGCTTTGAAAAAAATATATAATAAGAAAAGAACATAAATCATTTTAAAAAATTCAGACAGATATAAGCATGAACATAAAGGTTAGATAAAAGTTGGAGAGGTTAGATAAAAAAATTATTTCCACTGAAGTTGTTACAGCGGAATGGTACCTTGGGGCCATTCAAGCTCTACATCCGATGAAAAGTAGGCAAGAAAATTTAAAACTAAATATCCCATGAAATCTCAACCTGGGGGGACATACTACACTCTAGGACATGAGATAAATAAATGATAAAACTGTTGATTTCAAGTTCACTAGGAGCAGACTGCAGATGGGATCCCGAAACTACTGGAGGGTGTACGAAAGTAGACGGAGACGACCGACCGACCGATATCCGATTTCTCGGCAAATTATCAGCCAATTTTTTTATTTTATTATTATTTATGAAATTTACAACTGTACATTTAATATACATTCAGCAAATGTGATACAGATAAATACATGACATGACAAGGCTTTTAGAGAATCTAGCCATTGGTAACACTCTAATAAAGTTTCGAAATTAGGAGATCACGAGGCCATCTTCATTTCAGACGCCTAGGAGGGTTATCAGAGATCGAGGAGGAATCAAGGTTAGAAACGAGTAGATTAGGATGATTCTGAAGTTTATTATTGAAGGATAGGTATTTGGATTGGGCCAAATCGGAAACATATGGAACATTTAGGTCATTATGGATTATTTTATTTGTTACAAAGTAAGGAACATTAAGGATTTTACGAAGGATTTTGGATTGTAAGGATTGGATACGAGAGGAATTCGATGGTTTAGTGGAGCTCCAAAGAAGCTCAACTCCGTAAGTCCAAATAGACCTTATTATAGTCATGTATATAAGTGTTTTTGGTTATTAACTGAAAGGTTAAATCGTTTGTCTAGTAAGTGCTGAAGTAGTGGGAAACGTCGAGCGGTTTCTTGTCGTTTCAGTCTGGTATGAGGATTCCGAGTTAGACGTCCAGGTGGAATCCTAGGTATCGGATTTGTTCAACAGGGATAAGTTGGGTATTATTAAAGGATACTGTAGGACAGGAAGCCATAGGTTTACAACGAAGGGTAAAGGTAATTTGATGGGATTTAATCGAATTTATTTTAATTCTCCAGTTTTGAGACCATTCTTCAAGGTTTGGGATGTGGGATTGAAGGGTTTGGGAATCATCCAATTTAGGAAAGAAAATACCATTTATTCCGAAAAGGAATATTTTAGAAAATTAAATCACTAGGTCATTTAAAGAATTTCCTTTTGTTAAATCAAAGCATCACGCACTTATTGTATCATAGAATAAGAAGTCTTTGGATAACAAATATATCTTAGCACCGTCAAAAGTGTTTTTAGAAACAAATATAATTATTTAATTATAATACAATTTTCCCAACCTATGATAATCAATACAAATTAATACAATTTATCGAACTGAAGCAATAAGGTCATTTATATAACCTAATCTAAATACTAATATGGCCATGTCCTTTGAGACAGATTGTAACATTTTTCAATAAACAATTAAAAAAAAAAAAAACAGGAACAAGACATCCATTCTAAGTGAACATCCGGATAAATCTGGATTCCCTTTATAGTTTCATCAATATGATCTTGAAACCAGATTCCATCTTGGAACAGCGATTCGAAACCCGTACTGAAATGAAAAACAACCACACATTGGACTATTTCAGGATTATAAATTATAATTTATGTATTTAAAAATTCATGTATTCAAGATGTATTAAGAAAAAGTGATTAACGTATTGTCACAAACTACGATAAATAATTTTATTGCCGAGACATTATTATTACACAACGGTTCATACATTTACTGATACCAATAACAAATTGAAATAAAATGAACTTGCTCTATCTGTAACATCATTGCTTCCGATTTCCTGTAGGCATTAAAAAAATTAGGTTAAATATAATTATATAATTAATCGAAATCAAAAGGGTTAAACTATATTCTTTTTGTGCACGAATGGTTCATGTGTAACATATTCCTTTGTCAATGTATTAAAAAAAAAAGTAATAAAAAAATGTCAATGCAAAATAAATTAATAGTAAATAAAAATAAATGGTGTACACAAATACTTGTTATTAATATTCATCAATTATTTGCTCAAACGTATAAAATATATATCTTTTAAAAAAATCAATCAAATACAAAATAAAACAGCCTTCAAATAGTTGATAATTACAAAAAATATATACAAATACAAATAAATCATTCACAAAACAAATAAATAAATTTATAATTTTAAGGTACAGTTCGGAAAAAAACTTGTTAGTAAAATTTACATCAAAATTTATAAAATGGTTTGTCAGTATAAATTAATTATAAATGTAAATTTAAAAAAGAACTTCTGAAAAATCTACAAAATATGTTACTAAGATCAAAATTCATTCTGTCCATTTTCTGACAAAATTCATTTTAGATAGAAGATTTAATTTTTATTTATTTATTTTTTTAGAGTAGAGACAAGAAATCTATTTCGAAATTTTTAATATCATGTTGCTTCTTGTCACAGAGATATAAAATCTGAAGTTAGTGTTTCACTTCAAAACGGATTTCGTCGTCAAAATATGTTTTTGTCGAAATCAAAATGAAATTTGTGAATGAAAAATGGAAATGGACAAAATCCATTTTAATCTGGATACGTACATATCTTTTTTTTTTTTTTTTTTTTTTTTTTTTTTTTTTTTTTTTTTTTTTTTTTTTTTTTTTTTTTGTTCTTCCCTACCTCGCCTTTTAGGCTATACGGGATTTTCCCGGGCCGGGGGTGAGGGCGGGGAATTTAAAATCCCCTCCGGCACCGGGACGCGAACTCGTACTTTTTATATCATCTCAAATCTCTGTTATCCGGTTGCCAGGCAACTAGCGGTGCGGTTAGACACGCTTTAGCCTATTCGGTCACCCCGCCCCCTTCATATCTTTTATCTAATATTCAACAAATATACTATACATTCGTTAGTGATATTTACTTAAAACTATTACATCGTTGTATGAAAAGAATTTATAAAATACCCCGTTGCTACAATCTACCAAGCAAAAAACTGCTATTACATAAACTAAACCTGTTTTATGAGCTACTTTTATGAAAAAAATGTATATGATTTTTTTTAAATATATAACGAAAAGCCAAAATAATATTTAAAAAATGCCGAATGAAATTGAAAAACACAGCTGTCAGAATAGACACCGAGAGGGATCCCAATATATTATGAGGAGCTCTCAAACATTTTGCAGTAATTTACTAAAATAATTTACAAAAAGTAAGTAATAATTATAAACCGTGTGGGTAATAATAATGTTATGTTACAGTTAATAAAATCATTACTATATTTTTTTCTTTTCTCCCCTACCTTGCCTTTATGGCTAAACGGGTAAGGAGAGGGGGCTAGGAATCAATGTCAGAGTTAAAGTGAAATGCCTCCGGCCCCAGGAGTCGAACTCGTAATCTTCAGGTTATCAGATTGCCAAGCAACATGTATTGTAGACGCGCTAGCCCGCTCGGCTACCCCACCCTCTAACAAAATGATTACTGAGCTACTCCTTTATATATGGCATTCATCCCGTCTCCTTCCTCCTTTACACTGAATTATCGTTTTACACTGCCGCTGTCCCCTCCCCAAAATATCGGTGCCTATAAAATATACCGATGAGCTAAAATAATGAGTATGTGATGAGCAGGCTAAATATTGTCTTGGAACTTTAAAGAGGTGTCTGTGCAGTCATAAGGCTAGGGGTTTCCAAACTACCGAACTCCTCAAATCCGGTCCGTCAAGATTTTTTTTAGATTCACACTTCTCGTCACAGATCTTTCGCCTCGGGTAATTGGCGATTGATTCATACATCATCGGATGTATGGCAATATAGCGAAACTGGAAAAGTGCTTTTTTAACGGTTCGTAGTACGGGAAAAGCCCAGAGTATACTATAAACAATGCCTGAGAATCGAACCCATAGAATTTACTTATAACTTACGTAACTGGGATTTACACTGGAGTGGAAAATTTAAAAAAAAAAATGGCATTTATAAAAGGAAAACGTAACAACAAAATATAATTACGCAAGCGCATTGTCATTGTAACTTTCTTCGTAAAGATTTTTATAGAAACAAATCTTGAAGGTAAGTTTTCATTTAATTTTTTTATCGCTCGATTTATCATTTGTTCCAATGACAGTCAATGGGAGAAAAAAAAAGATAAAAAATCTTGCTACACTGTAAAAGATCGAACGGATTCCTTTCGAGATATTGTATTTTTTCCATAAATATGTTGCTATCAATCATTTTTATTAAGAGCAATAATAGTAATATAATAATTAGAAAATAATTAAGCGACATTATGGAAATTTGACAGGTTGCGGAAGGAGTCAATGGACGGGACATGAATGGAGCTACAACCGGTCCTACGAGTCTCGTCGATGTTCCCATCAGTCAGCTTTCGGATCGTTTAACTAATACCCTCCAAAACCGTCTTATTACGTAATATCAAATCTGTATATATAGCCCTTTTTACTTTCACGTAACTCTAGATCAAATATATACTAAGAGACAGTATTGCGATCTTGAAAAAATTTGGATTTGAATTTGCAAAGAAAATACACGTTTTAAGGTCATCTGAGTCCAAATGACCAAGCTAGTAAAACAGTATTTGGGTGTGTAAAATAAAGAACAATTCATGAACACGGATGTAAATAATATAAAGATATGAGTATATATTATAAATATCATAACTATAAAAACAAGCCATTAATCTACTAAATTGTACTGATGCCAATTTGGACATACTGAGCAGAACTTTTGGGATCAGTAAAACAAACGCACATAAACAAAATAGAAACAGTACAACCCAAAATCTTCGAAAAATTATTAACGCACCATGTTATATTTAAAATCACACTATGTATAACGATTTAAACCTTTCATTAAGCTAAATATTCATCTGAACAGTAGAAAAAATAAACAAGATGAAACAATAGTTGTTAAGCACCACTGCCAGTCCCTTAACTATATATTATTATTTTACTTTAATTAATTTTATTTACCGTTCAACCAAGTGAACAACGACGCAACTATAAAATTTTGGCTAAATGCTTCAGCACGTTAAATGGTCAAAAAGACGTGTTTAATCGAATCGAAGTCATAGAATAATAAAAGAAAAAATTGAATGGATAGAAGAACTTTACACTGGCACAATCAACTTTAATTATTTTAATTACTTATATTATAATAAATTACTTACACAATTCTAATTATTTTACCTCTCTTACACAATTGTATGATAAAATTTAAAATTAACATTTAATTTACATAACAAGTTTTTACAACGGAAAATAACGATGGAAAGATTTCTGTCAGTTCAGGTGCATAAAAACAAATTTGCCTTGACTGATTCTGATCAACATCTGGATTTGAATTATTCTTATGCTGACCAGGTTTTATAGGCGTTGACCCATCCTTGGAAAACTATAACTACATTTTCAAGGATAAATAAAATTTTAAAAAATCACTATAAATTGAAAATACCCGATTGTTAATCACGTTATATGGTGGCTCTCGGTAACATCTTCTGTTTTAATATATATATAATAAGACGAAGGAGCACAAATGAAATAATGGAAAACTGGATCCCGAAACGTAAACAATATATTAAAATATAACAAATACAAAAATTGGTTATGCATTCATGGAAGTTTTCATTCCCAACTACTGAATTTATATTTTATTTATCAGAGTTTTTTTTCGGTACTCCGTATATACGTTGATTCTGCATCAAATCATCATTGACCATCCATTTTGTAGATTATTCTCTCATTCAACTGAGGAGACATAAAAACTTCATCCCTTCTCCCAAAATTTCAGAAAAAAATAACTTATATAAAATAAATTTATACCACTTATATAGCTCGAAATAAACACAAATAAGACAAAATATATAGTTAGCTGCAAAAATGGCGATGACAACGGTGATATTGATATAGAAGGTAACATGTTTGAACAGGTAGAGAAGTTTAAGTATCTAGGGTCTACGATAACCAGAAAAAAACTAAATTGAAGAGAAGATTAAGGTTAATCTGAAGGCGGGAAATGCTTGTTATATTTCTGTGACAAAACTACTTAGCTCTCGTATCTCGGTCCGGAATTTAAAGACTAGAATCTATAAAACCATTATCCTACCTACAGTTCTTTATGGGTGCAAAACGTGTTCGCTTACATTAAGAGATGAGCAATGTCTTTTCGTCAAGGTTTTTAAAAATAAAGTATTGGAGAGTTCAGACGGTTGCACAACGCCGGGTTGCGTGAACTGTATCCATTTAATAAAATTGAGGTGATTACATCGGGGAGAATCAAATGGGCTTGTAAAATAGTTGGGCTTAATAACGAAAGAATTCCTAAATGGTTGATCTTTGCTGTACCGAATGGTAAACGTCCTAGACGTAGACCGAAGCGAAGATGGGAAGATTGCGTTAAAGCCGACCTGAAGGGACTGGGTTTAGACGGCGAACGGTGGAGGGAGGTGTGTAATAAGCAATTGGTTGTGTCGGCATCGAACCTCCGAGTTCGCTAAGCCTTTTATTATTATTATTATTATTATTAATTATCACCATGATTTTTAAAAATGTTTCTAAATTCCCTTCCCTCTAAAAAAGAGAAAAAAATCATTGTATTTGGACCATTATAAGCTATTGTAATTTTTATACGTGTTTTCGTTTATTAAAATAATAATTGTCTTTAGTAATGATTATTAAAATAATGAATGAACCATTATATTCGACCGAGGGAAAATAAATTAATTCTTCCATCTCAAAATACATTGTATTAACTTATTTACATATTGCATAGTTGTATGTTAACAGACCAATATGCTAAGAGTATTATTCACATGAGGTAACTAACAGTACATATTATATACATATTATTATACATATTATTCTAAAAACAAACAAAAAAACTATTGCAAGTTCAAAAGGAGTTTAACGATAACTGGCGTGCGAGTTGGAGAAATGATTTAATACAGTACTGGGCTGTGGGTAAAAATAGAGTTGATATATTCTCCCCTACCCACCTTCTATGAGCTCACTGTAGTTTTCAGGACAATAGTTGTTGTTTTTTTGTTCCAATACTTCGCGTGGGTTTGACATTCTCTAAAGAATTCAGACCCAATCATCTACCTAACATGTTCAATCGACAAGTTTTAGGTCAAACAACGATTTAATAAAATGAAATACGATATACAAGGTACAGGTAGGGAAATGCCGTAAATCAAATGTCTGTTTTGATTCAAATCAGCTTTATTTATTTTTTTTTTTTTTTTTTTGTATAATGTATTCAAATGTTCAAAAATACCCGTGAATCCTTATGAATAAGTTAAATAGTAATAAATTAAAATAAATTATTTCATATTTTTAATAATACTAATTTTCCCCTGCAAACTTATTCATTTTGAAAATTCATATTTTATAATATATGTATATAAAATCATACACAATAGGATTGTAATATTATTTTTAACTGAATAGAATAATATAATTAATTATAAAAAAACTTCCAATTAATTTTATTAAGTTTGAAAACAATGTAACGTCCCATTGTCATATGTTTACTACCAACCACAGCCATTATATTCTTAATATTCCATTAATTTTCATTGGTCAATGGACACTGATACCAGACCATTTTCCAAATTATTCCCCAATTTTATCAATAAAGGACTAAATCTAATAAGCCGTTTTGGAATATCGAAGAGAAAGAAAAATGATACAGTATGGTCATTTTGTATTTAAAGAAAGCGGAAGCAGAGGATTGAAATATATGAAACTGGTTAGGCACCATCAAACGAACATTAACGTCACTACTTTCCTTGAAAATGATAACTTTAAAAGAAAATTTCAAGATAAAGCTATGATAGATAGTAACAAATTATGAATGGTTTCGACGACACAGGATGAAATAGAACATAAATATTCCATTCAATATATTCATCTTTGAGACAGCTGGAGACAAGATTCCAAGGAACACGTCTGAAATATCGTATAAATTATAAAATCATGAATTAAATATCTATAAAAAAGAAACTACGCATTAGAAACATACGAAAGATGGATTGACAGCAAGTTCATTAAAATAGCGGAACCATCAAAGAAGATGAATCAGCCATTGATTATTATCATCTAGGAATCAATTGGCACAGTCACGAATCTATTAAATCAACAGCAGTAGCTAATCAAGCCACCGGACAGAACCTATCTTGTACGAGAACACCCAGCATCAAAATATTTACAACTCATAAAATGCTTATAATTTTTATTAAATAATTCAATTTTAATGTCAGTTTAGATTCGAAATATTTCCTTAAATCGATAATAATAAGAACGCTCGCCCTTTGAATTAAAAAAAAAGGAAAAGCACGACATGAAAGTATTTGATACGTTTTACTTATAACCTCTTAACATAACATAACTCTCTTATCATAACGGTGTTTCTCGGTTATTTTTTTTGCTTGTTTTTTTTATTGAAAGTTTCAAGTTGATTAAATTTTGACAATATGATCACATATTTCCAAAACAAAAATTGAAATTAAAAATACTTAGGTTTTCTAAAATGTGATTTAGGTTAAAAATTTGGGTCTAAATTTAAAGCTCATTCCGATCATTTATAGTCCCTGGTACAGACCCCTTTTTATCAAATTATTATTATCGACTTGGAACTTCGTGGATAACTTCATCTCATCGTAAGCTACAATATTTTATTTACGAAAAAGCTTGAAATTGAGTCGTTTTCAAATTGAAGGTCGGCAAACTTTGTTTCGTTAATTACGTGAAAAAAGCTCGTAAATACCCATTTGTTTTCTACTTCAATTGTAAGATAATTGAAAAAAAAATATGTGATTATAGAGGGAACAATGTCTCAAGTTAAAATCTTAACGAGCGTAAAAGAGAGAATTACATAAAACTGACAATGGTTTTTCATTCATGGGTTTCACTTTAATGCGCCTTTTATTTGTATAAAAGCACAGATTTCTTTAAATATGTATATTGATCAAATAGGATTTGATACCAAATCTTGAAGGTCTCTTGTAATAATCAATAAATGTGTCTGTAGCACTATCTAGATAGGTCAATATAAACAATGAAAGTAAATCCCATTAATAAATTACAAAAAATAAATAAAAGAGTTATTTATATATTTGTGGTTTAGAAATTTGATTCATTTATCTAACTAATTGTAAGACCTTAACTAATAAGTGAATTAACATTAATAAGAAATTAATACCAAAACGAAACAATAGAATACTAATCCGCACAGCAGCCGGCTTATACAGGGTGTCCCTGGAATTAATGTCAAACATTTTTATCTCAATCGGCTGGCGGCAGATAAAATCCAAATTTTTCTAATGTAATTGATCACAAAAACGGTGGCTTTCTAGGAAT